ATAAACATTTGAAGCAAATTTGAGAAAAAAAAAAAAAATTTTGTAAAAAATATAGAAATAATATTTAATGATTTAAAAATTTTGATCTTTTAATTTATAATTCAATTAATTAAAAAAGAATTTACTGAATAAAACTGGAAAACTAAGAATTCAGCTTAAAATAATTAAATTCTATATTAATTAAAGGAAAACAGTAGTAATAAAAATGTTTACCAAACAGAAAATAGTCTGAATAAGCAAAAAATAATGATTACTATAGAATATTTGGACTTGCTTGTTTATTAGATATAATTTTTTTTTTAACAGAAATGAAATAGAAAAAGCAATATTTTATTGCTTGAGATGGCAATTTCTGAACTGCATATCAGTTATTACCTTGCTTTCAATGGCTACCCTGAAGGTATGGGATATACAGTAGGGTTTTAGAATGTTTTTATCTTAATAAACTATTTCACATGACATTTATTTTCATGGTTCACTACATTGATTACATCAGTACAATGAATCAGGCACTATAATTATTACTTTATGAAATTAAAAAAAAACTAGAGCCAATTTAAATAAAATAAATAATTTTTTAGAATTTAATAACTGACTATTAATTCATAATCCAGTTTAATAATTTAAACTGGTTTCAAAAACAATTACATCACATCAACTGATAATGCTGTCATAAATCTATTAAGAGAATGTGTCACTATTACAACAGCAATCTATTAAAATCTATGCACAGAGCTATTGTAAATTATTATATAAATTTTAATACCTACCTGCTTAATTGTTAAATCAAGAGTAGGATTGAAAAAATATTCAATCCAACAGTAAGATATTGCCAATGTCATTGAGAGGAAGTGCAAGTACATTTCATATTGATATTCATATACGATCCCATGATAAGCTAACCAACATGCTATAACTAAAAATATCAATAAAAAATATAACACTTAAAATAAATTCTGAATTTGCAATTATTTAAATAAGCAAAATATAAACAGATTTGGGTCATTGAATATAAATTATTGCATAATATTTGTAATTAAAAATATTAATTCTTGAAAATCCACTTAGTTACACATTTCAAAAATATAGGTCTACATCAAAAGCTAGATAATGATTAAAGTAACAAAAAAATTTCAAATAAAAGCATTCATTTACCTCCTATAAATAAAATAATGACATCAAATTTAAATGTTACGTGTTCACTGTTATATGAATTTAATAGTTGAGCAATTGTAAGACTGACTAAAGTTAAGGCATTCACAGTAGATGAAAGGAGAAAGCTCCATCTACGACATTTCTGAGACATTCTGAGACCACACTACATTAAAAAAAATTTTTTTTAATTAGCACATAATAAATTTATTTTCTACATTCTTATAAAATATTTCAATTTACTTTTGTTTAAACTACATTAGATAAGTTCATGAACTTCAAATATATTTAGACATTGATCTAATCTATTCTTATCTTAGTTTCTAGTTGTGATATGAAGTCGTTATTCCCTTCTTTAACCGATTAAAGAAGGAAATAACGACTTTACGTCAGGTGAAAACAAAGACAAAAACAATTTCGCATTATTATTAATATTGCATTAGAAAAATTTTTCAAATTTTTCAATATAATTTCAGCTGCTTTCAAACAGAACAAATGCTGCTAGTATATAACTTTTTCTTCTTAATAAATTATATAGTAAGATGATTTATCATTAATTAATCATTTACTGGAAAAAGCAGCTTCATATAAGAAACCATAAACTTAATATTTGAGACATTTATCTTCAAATATATAGAACAAAAATGTCACAATAATTGTTACATCCAATTCAGCATGACAGCACAAGAAGTTAAATATATTTTCAATTCTTATTTTAAAGTGACAGAAGTTAATTTCTACATTTGTTGATTCTATATAAATATTTCACAATTCTAAATAATTTATCAATGTTGCAGTAATTAATTACTTTATCAGAGTTTTATTACATCTAATAAAGCAAAGATTGACAAATATTTGTTAGATAAGAGTAAAATTAAGACTCCATCTTCACCAATAAGTTTTAAAACATAATAATGCATTTGGCAATTTTAAGAACATTCCTATTTTAAATCTAGATCTTAAAAAATTCTTAGTTTTATTGACTATAATATTTAATATAATTATTACATTAATTCTATATACTGTATAGTTAGTGACATTGAGCAATAGAAAAATTTTGAAATCTATTTGTATCAAATGTGATTTAAGAAAAACAAAAGAATAAATGCAAATCCAAAGATTCACTAAGTAAATAAAACTCAGTTTTATTTATTTAAATAAACAATTATTGGAATGAAGAATATATTTTTATTGAAACCAATGGAAACTGCAAGAAAAACATTTCTCTGATTTGATAAAAGCAAGACAGCAAAACACCCCCAAGATTACTTATTACATTTATTTAAGTCCATTTTAAGAAATATAATAAACATTTGTAATCTTTAACAGTAATACCACCTTATAATTCCACACAGTAAAAAAGTTTATTCCTTTGCACTACTAAATGAAACACATGCACACATGTATTACATAAAATTATATCACCACATTTTAATCAAGCAATAATGTAGCTCTTTAATTATAAGCTACCATCTTGTGCTATAAATTTTAAATTTAGAAATTAAGAATAATTTGGAAGAAAAGATTAACAAGAATTAAACCTGCAATTCTTGCCTTACCAGCTAGATATAAAATCAATCACACTACCTGGATTATTTATTTAGAATTGTTTTTATAAATCATAAATTGCTTAATGCAATTTATACTAGTTTATTCAGAAATTGTAAAAATATTTGATGCAAAAATTTGATTCATTAACATAATTTTTTTCCTTTTAATTTCATCAACTGTCTGAAATATGAATCAAGCTTCAATGCCAAAATACAAAAAAAAGTACTTTAAAAACATAATAAAATATATTCAAGCAATTTCCCCAACTAATAAATGCTTTAATTGAGATAAGATAACCAAAATATTATTTTGGTTAATTAAACTTTGCCTCTATCATTCATATTTACTCAACTAATGTAAATAAATGAAAATGATGACTATCGTAATAAGTATAAATTATAAAAATATATTTGCCAGTCATTATTTTGATTTAAAATATTCAAGTGAACTTATGAATTAATTCATTAAATACAGAAAAGTATTAAATTAGCTTTCTGATGATTATTTTATGAATAGTTTTAATAATTTTACAATCTTATTATTTATCAATAAAAATAAAATTTAAGTCAAAGTTTTAGAACTTTATAAACATTTGAAGCAAATATGAATACAGATTGGCCACAAAGTTCCTATATATGCTAGGTTACAGGTTATCCACAGAGCTGTTAAGAGCTGGCTATTTTTCTCCAGATCCAGCGAAAACTTATGAATTAAATTTCTATTACATTATTGTATAACAATCAAAAGTCGTGCAAACTTCATATCTAAAACCCTCAGTGGTCCCTACTCTTACAAATTATTATTATTTTTACTAGCAAAAATAAGTTTTTATTTCACTTCTTAAAGGGTAAAAGGGACCCTTTACAACAGCTCTCGACAGCCCTAATTATCCATATAGGACTTCATTCTCTACACACATAATTTTTTCTCATGTTCTTCCAGATATCTCCAATACCGGCATCAAAGACTGCTTTAATGATACTGGCTAAACTATTTTAGGTCTTTGACAATTGTAAAACAGATACGAAACATTATGAAAAATGAAAATATTTTAAAAGATTTGCCATACGTTACAGTTTGGCCCAAACAGGCCACAATGTTCCGATCCACAACACATTCATCAGTCACCAAATGTTAAATAATGTAAGTATTGCTTTAATGCAGTGTGACAATTAAAAGCTTCTGGAATAATTCTGAGTAAGTTTAATTCATTCTAGATAAACAGCTCTTATAATAGAATTCTATTGTAATTCTATTGTAAGAGCTGTTTATCTAGAATGAATTAAATTTCTATTACATTATTGTATAACAATCAGAAGTCACGCAAACTTCATATCAATTTCAAATGTATTTAACATTATAAACAATATTTCCGTAAACATTCAGTTTCATTAATGATACGTCTAAATATTCGTGCAGAAAAATTTTGTGGTAGTAGAAGTTACTTTTAGTTAATTTGCATATATTCAGTTATACATACATTTCACTAAAAGTAACTCCTACCGGTTCACGTCGAGTCGGCGATTTTTTACAAATTATTTAATTAAATTATAAAAACTTACCCCGTTCATTCTGCGAAAAGAATCGCCAAATATACCTCCGTCGATTGTTTGATAAGACATAATCGTCGGAATGCAGAAATTATGTGAATAAACCTGGAAAAATCACTGCCTATCCTTCCATTACGGTCTGTAACACTTTACTTCTAAATCGGGATAGAAGCATGTGATTAGTCACGTGACAACCTTGGATGGTGGAAAAATAAGGCCAACTAGTTTATCATTCACATAGAATTATAAAACAATTTTAATTTTATAACGCTTATAGAGGCAAAATAAAAAAAAAACGATCATAAATATTAAATAAAACGAATTTAATAAGAATTTTACATTTAAGCGTCTAAACGGAGGATACCCGGGAGAAAGGGGACTATAAATTATTTTCAGTTCGTTGCCAAGTAAAGTTAGTTTAGTTAAATAGCTGAAGGTCGTCTTAAAAAAAAATCCAGCAACGAGTTGCATAAATATCCCGGAAAAACTTTAAGACGTATTATTAAAACAAATTTAAATTGTCTGTGGCGCCATCTGTTATGAGATTTTTTAAAAATAACTTTTATATTATTGATTATTATAAAGTGGCAAAGGACTTAATTTTGAGAGTAGAGATGAGATTTATATTTAAAAAAAAAAACTGTAGACGACCTCAATCCCATCAATCTCAATCTCAATTCAATTCTGAGATATTAAACGAAATAGACACCGACATATAGAATTTTTACTTCCCTGGTTGTTATATATAATAGAGGGAAATTATGGCAATCGGTCAAAAAATGACCCACCAATAATTTTTAGATTTTTGGACTCGGGACATCGAGAAATAAAAAAAAAAAACAATTCGGGGTTTTTTTGTGTGGATATTAATGTGTATGGGTAGGACACGATTTTGTTCGACTTCTTTGAAGCTTATTAACTTCTGGGCTTTTTGTCGAAAATTTCTGAAATTTTGCAGGGAGATTTGTTTATTAGGAGGTTTGATGATATTAAATTTTCGTGGTTAAAGGTCGAGGGGGTGGAGATAAAGAGGATCATGTGTCGTATCTCGAATAGGGTTGGACTTAATGACGATTTTACTCGTTATTAGCATTTATAAATTTTCATAAAACCATCCTTAACCTCAAAAGTAAGCTTTTTGCCATTTTATAATAGTTAAAAATATAAAAAGTTTTTAATAATAAAATATCATAACAGATGGTGCCACGCACACAGTTTTAAACGTTTCCGAGAAAGTTAAGTAACTCTTTGTTGGATTTTTTCTCGTTTATTTTTTTTTTATTTATTTTTGAATTTTTTGGTTCAAAACGCCAAGATTCTCAAAAGATCAAATTTGACACAATTACAACACTTTCCAGTGTATATTATAACACGGGAAAGTATTGTACTGTGTAATTGTGAGAGTAAAATAAAACAATTTTACTTTGCTGTTTGCAATACTTTTTTAAAAATCTAAATCAAAATATTTAGCCAGAACCTATACAGAATTTTAATTGATACTCCACAGCGTATTTAAGATATAACATCGAAGGCAGGGAATAGGAAATTCGGGATCGAATCAGTACAAACAACGTCCCAGGAATTCTTGGTATCTATCCGGCATCATCTCTCACCATTCGGCCATCCCTATTGTGGGCTCGCTAAAAAAAAGCTCTTCTTAGTGCCAATAGAGCGGAAAGATTAAAAATTAAAAATAATATATTATGATTTAAAATAATGGGAAAATTATAATGCGTTACGATATCAACCGAAATCCCTCGACCAATTTAACAACACGCAACTAAAACACAGTAAAACACATAGACTATATCAAGTACTATAAATAACAATACACGACACTCAAAAACACAGTGACAAGCGATTCAGCCCTATTAGCGGACATAAATTATATAATTATATAGAAATTGTGTTACTTGTGATTAATTTCGTATTTTTAATAAAATGGCTGGCAGAATTTGTGCAATATCTGGATGCAATAACTACACTTCGATACATTTATCAAAACTTTTCCATAGATTTTCTAAAGATTCCGAAATGTAAATACTGTAACTCATTTTAAAAATTTATATACATATAAAGTACCTAAAAGGGCAAGATGTAAACTCTGAACGAAAGATTTGCCACCCTCCAGAGCTATAGAATCTCTGTACGGGCAAAAAATCAATGGAACATACTTGCCAGCCTTTAGAATGGAGAATAGCTGGGACTTTGATAGCATAAAATGCAAGAAAATTTTTTAACACCATTGATATTACACAGTGCTTATATTAAATACCTGTAATAAACAAAATTTAATTTTATCCCACCATATGATATAAAGCTATTCCCATAAACACTGTCAAGAGTATGACAATAGCTTTATACTTTTTAACACCACAATTTAAAAAAGGTCAAGTATTTTACGGGACACATCATAATCCACATCCAAATTTATTAAGTGTTCCAACTTGATGTTGCATGATGTTATAGCCTATGCCTTTGTAAGATGTTTTGCTTTGTTGATAATATCTTTTGTTACAGTAAACTCATGACAATTGCTATCAGTAGGTTTATTAACTTTTACTGCAATTATCGTGCAATGATAGTTTCAGGTTTGCACATAACAAGGGCACGTGCATTTTCTACGTTTTCTTCACATGCCTAACATCAAGATAGGATCAGTTTCCCATAAAAAGTGTTCCAGGAAGCAGAGTTTGGCAGTTGCCCGAGTGTTGCATTGTCGCATTCCATCAGTCCAATCCAAATCTCTTCATAACTAATAAATAATAATTTTTATGATGAAATATATTTCTTTTGGATATTATATATGCAGTAAATCCTGTTAACTTAGAATTTTGTAAACTCAGACAACTTTACTCCGTATTAGTCTGAGTTAGCAGGAGTTTGTTTATTGTATATGCATATAATTCAAAATATTTATACCTAATTATGCATAAGTTATGCATTATTATATATAAATTAATTATTTTTATTTTATAAAAAGTAATGAAGTTTCTAAAATCACAATATATTCGAATTGGTTCTTCAGAAATTCATTTTAAATTTTATTTATACAAATTCAATTTTAAAAAAAAAAAGCACAACACAACAATAGGCTTTAATTTTCGTTAATAATTCTTTTTATTGTTCAGCAATAAAGTCCAATAATTGAATTAAAATGAATTCTTTTAGCTCCAATTCATCTGTCGCTTCTCTGTACGTTGGTGATTTGCCTCCAGATGAAACAGAAACTACGCTCTTCGAAAAATTTTCTACCGTAGGACCAATTCTTTCCATCAGAGTATGTAGAGACCTGATTACAGGAAGATCTTTGGGCTATGCCTACGTTAATTTTCAGTATCCTCAAGATGCAGATAGAGCCTTGGATACTATGAACTTTGATTTAATTAAAGGAAAACCGATACGAATAATGAGGTTACAGAGAGATCCATCGCTTAGAAAATCTGGCGTTGGAAATATTTTCATCAAGAATTTAGACAAGAGCATCGACAACAAAGCTATGTATAATACATTTTCTGCTTTCGGAAATATCTTGTCGTGTAAAGTGGTTACGGACGAAGAAGGTAACTCGAAAGGTTACGGTTTTGTGCATTTTGAAACAGAAAAAGCAGCTAATAATGCCATCGCTAAGATAAATGGCTTGCTGTTAAACGGCAGAAAAGTGTACGTAGGTAAGTTCATTCCTCGAAGAGAACGTGAGAAAATAATCGGAGAGAAAGCTCTTCGATTCACAAATGTTTACATCAAAAATTTTGGGGATGAACTAGATGATGATAAACTGAGAGAAATGTTTGAAAAATATGGTACTATCATTAGTGCTAAAGTCATGGTCGATAAAAGCGGCAAGTCAAAGGGTTTTGGATTTGTTAATTTTCAAGATTCCGAGAGTGCTAAAAGAGCTGTAGAAGAATTAAATGCTCAAGAACTCGGTGGAAGACAGCTTTATGTCGGCAGAGCACAGAAAAAAGCCGAAAGACAAGTGGAATTAAAACTAAGATTTGAACGATTAAAATTGGAACGAATGAGTCGTTATCAAGGTTCCAATTTATATGTTAAACATTTAGAAGATTCCATCGATGAGGAACGCCTCAGAATAGTATTTTCGTCTTTTGGTAACATCACAAGTGTCAAAATCATGACGGATGATCGTGGCAATTCTCGTGGATTTGGCTTTGTTTGTTTCAGTTCTCCCGAAGAAGCAATCAAAGCAATAACTGAAATGAATGGAAAAATCATTGTTTCTAAACCGCTTTACGTTGCTCTAGCCCAAAGAAAAGAAGACCGTAAAGCTTATATCGCTTCGCAATACATGCAAAGACTGGCTAAAATGTACGGACAACCATATTTCAACCAAATGTGCCAACCAGCAGGAGGTGATAATTTTGTACCGACAATGCCGCAAGTTGCAGGAAGATATATTCCAACCCAAATTCCACAGATGCAACCTACGTCGAACTGGATAACGCAACCACCGTTGACACAAAGTGATCCGCACATCGATGGATTCTCAGCCATGCAATTCGCACAATTCGCTTCTCCTGTTCTACATTCAACAGTCACAGCAACTAAAACACAACACATTTCAACTAATATGAATGGAAGATCTATCACTAAACAACAGAACAGAACAGAATCGACAAGAGTTACATCTGTGGAGCAGTCTACTGCGGCCTGTCCCGTGGCCGTACCAATTGCCAATATTGCGCAGCCTTATTCTCCGACATATATAGCTAGCATGTGTAATTCTCCACCGTCCATCGTTCAACCACCAATTCTTGAACAAGCTGCAAGTTATATCCAAGAACAGGAAGCTCTGAGCACTTCCATGCTTGCCAATGCCAATTGTCAAGAACAGAAGCAAATGTTAGGAGAACGTTTGTATTCAATCATTCAGTGCTGGTATTCAGATATAGTCGGAAAGTTAACAGGAATGTTGCTAGAAATCGATAATTCTGAGCTATTGCATATGCTCGAGAACCAGGATGCCTTGAAAGCGAAGGTAGACGAAGCAGTCGCTATTCTCCAGGCTCATCACAATGAAGAAGTTGCATCCAAGGAAGAATAAAAAACATTTTTTAATGTAATTTCTTGTTTTTTAACGTTATTATCATATAACTATACTCTATATGAATTGTTGAAAGCATAGTTTATACTTTGATATTTTGTATTATCTTTAATGTTTTCTTTCAAAATTACAATATGAATATAAAAAAAATGAGCATTTATAAAAATGTATAAATTTTCGTCTGTTAATTAATATTATGATATAATAATAAAAATAATAAATATTAAAACAAAATATAAGAATTTATTTATTAAAAATATCGGTAGCTTTTTATGAAGCAAGACTGGATCCATGGTCCGAGAGGTTCATCTTACATTCAGAATTTTGTCATTTTTATCATAAATCAGAAAAGTTAGACTTTTTAAGATATTTTACTTTTTGAAACATTAATTACGGAAAATGAATTAAAATTTTTGGCTTACATATTATTTTTATCTCAATATATTTCTCTTATGAACTTTATGTATAAAAATCATACAAAACACGCTCATGAATGCATGAAAAATGGAGTTAGAGGAAGGGAGGGCAGGATGGAAGGTTTTACTTTAGATGTAAAAAAACATAAAACAACATAATATAAAGCTTTTATTTTAATCAGTCTCGACAGAGATCTTAGATGGTTAAAAAATTGTGTAAAAATAATTAATATTAAGTATAAAATCTGTTAGAAATCATGAAGTAAAAACGTAAAAAATTTCATCTTGCCCTCACCCTGAAGGCAAGATGGAATACATAAGATATCCCTACATTTTACAATTGACACACAAAAACATCCATCTTTTGTGTCTGTACATTGTTCATGTGCCCAGCCACAACACACTGGACACTGTACCCAGTCCTCTGTGAGCGGTTTCACATATGGTTCTCCACATAATACACAAAACCTTCATCCATCGCCATCTGCATTGTTTCTTCAGTCCAAGAACCTTTGTTGCTCTTTCTTATATATTTGTTCACCATATAAAAACAATTACATCCTCAATTAGTTAGATAAATTGAAAACAGAAATCAAAATAATTCCTCGCGGGCAACATAAAAACTATTCCATCTTGGTCTAAAATGCGATTTTTCATCTTGCCCATATGCCCATTGCCAATAATAATATCAACGCTTTAAAAATCCTTGAACTTTTTTCCTCTTTAAATATCAATTCATGCAATCTATCCCTAATAAGTACTTTGTATAAAAACAAAATAGTAATACTTACCTTATAGGTATAAATAATAACACTGCAAAATTCCAATGATCGCATAATAATCTTCTGCGAAATAATAAATATTTGCACACGTCACTTGGTGGTGCCAACCGGTCAGAGTCGCCGTTCGTAAATACAAGATAACCGGGTGTCTCTGTGTGCATGGAGATTCGGGTGCTTCGTCGCGCGGTTCGGGATGGATAAGTAGTTTCCATCTTGCCCTCCCATTTAAATGGGTCGATCACTTAAATCCATGTAGGGAACTACATGGATTTAAGTGATTGACCCATGAAGATATATACGGAAATCTTCACGCGAACAGTGTGAAGTCAAGCGCCAACCTGCAACATATTACTAGTGAAAAGTGACTTTATCCATTTCATCTATGTTGGTGCGTTCAGAGGCCACAGAGGAAAAAAAATTTTGTCAGAGCCCGGACTTGACAAAAAATTTTTTTCGAAAGAAAAAAAATCATAAAGAATATGATTATAACTTTTCCAACGGACTTGCTTCCTTCTTTAAGGTGACACATCGAATGTGTCACCGGAAACTAACGGAAAAATCGCCATTAGACCGTAGAACGACTTTACCAAAAAAGGACAAGAGTTGCGAGGGGGAGAACGGGTCCGATGACGGTACAGAGAGTTCGTCTGTTTTTGGAGGTTGGTTGTGTGTGTACACTCGGATACAGTTCGCTGCAATACTCCGCCAATAGCCAGCGATGAGAAGCTTAACCGATGACGCCAAAAACCCATCAACGAGTATAGTGTCTCCTCTTCCGAAAAAAAGGCCCAAATCAAGAGAGCGATCTTCAGGTAAATACCACGCGAACGTTTGTAAACTCTCTCTCTTGCGTAAAGCTCATGTGTGTAAATAGTTTATATAATCAATAAACGGATATTACTTTTCTTGTCACGCTTTCATCTATTTTAACAATTTTTATCCGGGCCTCCAATTTTCAATTCTGACAAATTACTTACAGAAATCATCATAACGAGGCGCATATAATGAGCCTATTTCACGGCAGTGCGTTTACTAATGTGAGAATACGGACGAGGGACAAGGCCCTCTAATCGTCAGATCAGTTAGACCTGCTCACTTTGTCCCTGGATGGCTTAATTTTTAACAGAACCCGAGTGGTAAGATTCTGTGTGGGTTTGTGCATAAAGAACGAATACCAGACAAGGACATTAAATATAAAATTAACAATTTAATTATTACTAACAATACTACAATATGTTGGATACAAAGGAATAATACCATCTAATAACAGTATGGATTACCTATGTGAGGGTAGTTCCTATCTCTATGTTATTTAGAATAAGCCCGAGAGAGAGAGTTTTACATTAAATTTACCTCGTTGTTCATGTTGAGATCCTGTACCTTGTAGATTCTCTTCCTGCAGAATGGAGTTGGGAGGACAGGCTGAACCAGGGATGAGGAGCACTTTGCTATAGCAAAGTGCTCCTCATCCCTGGTTCAGCCTGTTTCAGCCATCAATTTGAACGAACTCCCCGAGAGTCCGCTAATCAGCCCTTTTATCCCCAATTATTTCATAATATTTTCTTAGGAATTGATTGGTTATGACATTTTAGCAGGTGGTGTGCAAAATTCTACAATACGAGGCGTGGAGGAAGGAAGCAAAAAATCCTCAGTTCTTGGTAAAAGTGGCATGACAGAGCACTTTTACAGGATGTAAAAGTTTATAACCTTATTAGGTTATGTTTTATTACTTATTCCAAATTTTATCATTCTTTTTATATAATTGAGTGAAATTAAAGCATAGTATTTATTACATTAAAATTTTATATTAATTATCTCAAGAACACCGTCAGATTGTCACACTAATGCCCACGGCCAAACTAGTAGTAGTACTCAACGAACACCCGATACATATTGTGAATGAGGGATAAACTGGTTGAGGAATTTAACTGCCTGTTTTTTTCGGGGTTGTTAGCGTACAGTTGGCATGCCGTAGTATAAAGTGACTTACGGGGGAAGGCGGCGAAGAATACACCATACGTTGTTTTTGTACGAGGGAGAGGACGCCATGCATTTTCAAAAAGCTCGCTTCTGGGCAAGAATACAACACAGTAATTCCGCCGCCGTGAGTTAATGTAGTTACTTGAGTTGTCGCCTCGTTTTAGATTATAAACATTTATTTCAAACGCGAAACCGTGTACGTCGGAAGTTCAGCGCCGCCTTCCTGTAAGCCTAGAAGTTTGACAATGGTGTTTGGAACGTCGAGCATGATACCACTGACTATCTAAATACTATTGTCAAATTTCTTGGCTCACAGGAAAGCGACGCTGAACGTCCGACGTACACGGTTTCGCGTTTAAAACTTCGACCTCAACCTCTCTCATATGTAGTGATTATTTTTACCACGAAATACGATGAAATTATTGGTTTTTGTTTATTTCTTTATGTCAAAACCACACGTGGACGATGTGCCGAGCTGGGATGCCTCCCAGGAAGATTTTATACGGAAACTGACGCCTGTTTACATGTTACTAACGTAAAAAATTCCGGAAAACTCCATGGCCAGGAGCGAACCCACGACAAACTGCCAGTGTTCAGTGATTTTAGCCATTGGGCCACTGGTGGGCTCTGAAATTGCCGATTCTTCAAACAAACCAGATTATATTAAATATACTTGGCCATGTGTAAAACATAAACACTTATCAACACTTCCTGACACTTTATTAGTTGTTACTATATAACATGGACTGGGGAGCATTTTTATACATTTATTCCCTTTACAGACAACAACACATAGACACGAAGGAGGGGCAGGGGCACCGCTAGCAGTTTGAATCCGCGTGCAATACCGATTATGCAGCCCCCTGTTTAACTACGATTACCTACGCTGAGCTTGCCAGAAAGACTTTTTAGTGTTGTCTCAAAACGGTGTGAACAGAGTAAAGAAATACTTTACGAAGAAAATCTATTTATTATTACTAAGTTATTTTTGTTTACTTAAGTGTAAAACCATATAAATATTTGTCTATAGAAATTGAACTGCTCTTGCCTTTATGTTTGCGAAATCTGCCATCAATATTCATGTATCCAAGCAGTCTAAGATTTCGTGTTCAATTGAAAATATAGCTAAATTACTTAATCTTTGTTGGTGCGTTGTTGCTCTTAAACTGTTTTTTTTTTATAATTTTAACTTTGAAAAGGATCCTTCACCAAATGCAACCGAAACCAGCAATGTAAGTAATATTCTTAGTGCTATTGCTATGTTCGGAAATGTTGAAATTAAGTCATAAGTAAAAAGATATTGTAATAAGGTTTGAGGATCATTAGACTGGTTTTATGGAAAATGCAACTTTAAAGTATTGATTTCATTAAACAAATCAATATCGTCAATCAGAGCCGTAACTAGACAGGTGCAACAGGTGCACCCGCACAGTGTCTACTTGGAAGGGGAGACCAAACTGCTGTTCGCAAGAAATTATATTTTTAAATTTAAAATTTTTCCGCTTTTCTACAGCGCGGTTTGGCGATTACATTTCGCCTTACTTAGACCCTAGATGTCTGCTCACCAGTGTTCCCAACTGTGTCGACTTTTAGAGGGACGTAGTGAGGTAGCAAAGACCTCAGACAAATCAGCCAAAAGTAGCGACTTTTGAGATTTTTTTAATTTATTGTTTGAGAAATATAAATTTATGTTTATAGTTTTCAAATTTACAGATTTTTCTCTACTTTATAGAGCTCTCTGGCAACTACTAATATTATTACGATATACAAAACTGTATTCTAGATTTTTCTACAGTGTGCAGAGCTAGAAATCTGTAAA